CAAGAACTGCAACAAAGGATCCAACYGTGCAACTTGTCTTTCAGTTGGGATTGTAAATAACGATAATCCTCAGTTTTTGTTGAGGATAAGAGGATACAACAAATATGGAGCAGCAACGTTTTGCGGCTTGGAAGAAACTGAACAGGTCTTGTTCAAAACATAAACGTAATTAACTGTGTTTGATTGAGGAGAGAAAGCAGGAGGACTACACAGAGGAATGCAGCGCTAACAAAGCTCTGTTTGACTGATGTTCTGTAAGGCAGCCAGGAGGATAAGTCATTGTCCCCCCACGACTGGCGTGTTGTCTCGGCTGCTCTGTGCCATCARCTCCAGCTACATGGGAATTCTCCCCCGCTGCTGTTCCTCTGTGCCTGGAGAGAGAGCGAGAGCGGGCGAGCGAGCGAGAGTGGGTACGTGAGTGATGACTAAACAAAAGCAGCACAAAAGAAGTCAAATGAGTGTTTGGAACATTTTCTGACAGCTGATTCTGAAGATTTGTGTGCTTTAATGTATTCAACACAAAGGTAATGAAAGCAACAAAAAACATCAGGCATACAAAACTCTAAATCACAGCTGATGATCTTTTTTTTCCCTGATCATACAGCGACATTTCAAGTGTGGTTCTAATGTTAAAATGACAATTTATACATGAAATCACAATGATTCATGCATTATCTGTGCAAAAACTCAGTTATTTTCCATTGTGACACTGTTGTGATACTAAAACAAGATTGATGGATGAAATAATGCTTATCTGTCTTTGCTGATGATGCCCTGGGGTGAAAATTTTAAAATATGTAGCTTTTCCTTTGAAAATGAAACTACAAACAAAACTGGCACTGGGGCACCAGAGGGTGGCACAATCAAGTAATTAAAAAAGACAAAATAAAAATATAAAAAAAAGATTTGTATACATGGAATAAATCCTGCAATAAAGACCTGAGATAATGTTCCTCAGTGTTTTCCAGCATGAGTAAAATAATAAAAAGTAATAAAAATGGTTTAATAAGTTTTCAGAAGGACAAAAAGCAGTTACAAAACTCTGCTGTGACTGTTTTTGTCAATGTGGATTTGCTAGTTTTTATTAGTTAATATTGCATTTTAATGCTTAGTTTTAGTTTATTTTAGTTTACATAAGTTCTAGTATTAGTTTATTTATAATTTGAATAAACATATTTGCCAGTGCATCCTCCAGCTTGTGATGTTCCTGAGAGTTAACTAACCAACAGCTATTTGGTCACTAGTTAAAGCAGTCCATTATAGCAACACCTTCCTTAAATAATTGTGTAACTCAATTTTGCCAACTAAAAACTTGGGTGATTATTTTAGGACAATGACAATAGTTGTCTCCAACCCAGTGCTACCTGTTGATTGTTTTTCACGTGAGCTACTGAGAGAAGCTAGCGTGTCAGGATAGTCACAGTCAGCCATCTTGTGAGCTTGATTCAGGCAGTTTTTCCCTTGAGAAGCCTTCCACCTGTTTTATCACCTGTTTCCACTACAAGACACTTGCTTTGATTTTTCTCGCAGTCATATTTAAAGAAATCCCAAAGTGGACGTTGTTGCTTCCTCCCAACTTTTGTTGTCGTCATTTAGCAGGTGATGCTGAGCAGCAGCAGACTGTAAACAAGTGTTGTTACGGCCCACAGCTAATGTGAAACTACTCGATTAAAAAATAAAAAGACCCACATGGCTCAAAATAAATTGACTAAAACTAAGGATAGTCTACCTATTGTTTTAGTCAGTTTTGTAAAAAGATTATACAATTTTAGTTAGTTGTCATTTTTTCATTTTATTACAGTTTTTATTTATTTTAGTTAACTAAAATGTATTTTTTCTATTTCAATTTTCGTTTTTAGTTAGTTTTAGTTAACTATAGTGGGAAGTTATTCAGATTTTCAACTGATGGCACTAAATCCAGTAAATACCATTTCAGTCTTTCAGACAAACGCACTTCAACTTTCAGCCCGACAACAGACAGCCTAAAAAAATTAATGGCAAATGCTTCACAACTAAGAAAAGCTTTAATTAAAATGGTCTAATTAAGGTTCCAAAAGCTTTTTACAATGTGATTATTGTTCATATATTCAGACACATTTTTAAATTTCATTTTATTCTGCATCAGTTACAGAAACATATTTGGCCCAGAGGAGAATTTCGGTGTTTTGCAAAGGACACTTTTCATGCTTGAACAACTTCTCTGTCACTTAATTTCATGCTCTTTATTTTATTTTTTCAAATAAATTCCTTCCTTGGTAGGTGCCAGATCCCCTTTAATGTATATGTTCAAATGATACTCAGAAAATAAAGTAATCCATTTTGATTCCAGGTGGTAACACATGAAAAAAATATAGTAAAAACCTTTGTTTTTGGCCACATCCTTCAGGGTCAATCATCATACTTATTTCTAAAATGAAATGTTCTCTACCCACTTTCTTTGAGATGTGTCTCATGAGCGTTTCTGATGGGGGGTGTTACATCCCAGACGGGTTGCCACGGTGACAAGGTGCTCCCTGCCGCCGTCGGGTCTCGGCCAAGTTGGGCGCCATGGTGGCTGGGCGGTGACAGACATTGTGACGGGTCCACTAAGACACCATGGATGGGTCAAACTTACAAATCCATGGATGTGTATGCAGTGCAAACACTGATCACTCTGCTACTAAATATCATTAAAAATGGTTTTGGGTTGCAATAGCTTTTCCATAGCTTCTACATGCACAATTGGAGCATAACACAATGCCTGCTCACAGCAAGAAGTCACCATATTTGTTTTGAATCTGGTGCCAGTGTTACATTAGCAGTTTGATGCAACAGGACAATATATCATCTGCTTCACTTTGAGTTAATAATTTCATACTTTTTTTTCCTACCTGAATAAAAGCTGGAGCCAGAACATGCATTAAACCATCCACTGTGCCACTCTGATCTTGCTGGTACCACGTATGTGTGTCTTAAGCATCTATATGTGTGTGCCTGTGTAAATGGTAATGACCCGCCTCAACTCTGGAACAGCCTTTTGATTTATGTATGTGGAGGTGCATACTTGACTGCTCGTCTGTGTGAGCGTGACTGTGTGTGTGTGTCTAAACACACGGTCAAAGTAATAAATAAATGTATAAAACGCAAGTTTAACAAAGCAAAATGAAGAGGAGCATTACAGTATCTCTCCTAAATCAGACGTAAGACACACAATCACGTGCACAAATGCTAAACTTGACTCGGAGACAAGAGAGAAGCAAGGAGCCACAGTTTGAGCATCCTGCTGTGTGAGGTCATAACCCCTATCAGACTCTATGTCAGTCTGCCTATTGTGTCCTGGGTTGAGCTCTAACACGCATACATACACACACACGCTACGCTATAACTTATACAGTCGCCATGACAATGGTGAGGGCGACAGTAAGGCGGCAGGATGGCGCTGTATTGGCAGCAGAGGTGTTGTTTTGAAAGGGACAAGCTGATCGTCACCATGTATTCACTGTAATGAACAGTGTCTGCAGGTGAAGTCATTGTATTATGAAAGTCGTACATCATTAAAAAAATGGGTGTAAATAGAATTACTGTATATATATTCTATGAACATTGTACAACAAATGAAAGTAACTTTTTTAAATAAGATTTTCTAGTTATATTTCCTTATGTATCCTCATGTAAACTGTGAAAATTTTAAGAAGGTCAGTTTTAATTTCTGTGTGTATTTTTTGTTTTTCTGTAGCTTTGCCCTATATTACTGACACTACAAGATTTACAACATGGACAAATAAAAAAGCATATCTTAATAAAGTTTTTACAAGTCATACTTGAGGCCACATCTGTCACAGGTATTAACTTAATAAATTAAATAATATTCCTAACAACGGTCTTGGAGTTAAATTTGACTGATTTGACATGAATTTAAATTCAAACCCAAAAACTGTTTGTTGTATATATAAAATAAAGCCCAGTTTATGATATATAACGCTAAGGACAGGTGTCAGGACAACTTTTCTTATTTATTTATTACCTGTAATAATTTCTGGCCTCTCATCTAAAAGACCTCCTACATTCTGCATCTAAGGTTATGTTTATTACAAAGGGACAGCTCTTATTCTAAAACAGGGATCATCAATTACGGTCCTCGAGGTCCGCAGCCCTGCATGTTTTAGGCCCACTTCTTTATCTGCTCCAACACACCTGATTTGAATGAATAGATTATCAGGCTTCTGCAGAACTTGGAAGAGGTAATTCACTGACTGAATCAGGTGTGTTTAGAGAAGGGAAAAAAGTAAAACATGCAGGGCTGAGGACCTCAAGGACCGTAATTGATGATCCCTGCAACAGGTAAGTACAAGACCAGCCCTTTCTCTCTTTACAGAGAATCTGCTGCCCTCTTTTGATAAGAGTGTATAAGAAAAACTTTTACTGTCTTGTGGACAATACGAACTACAAAGAAATTATTTGAATTTAGGTCTACTAAAAACAAGAAAGATAACTTTATTGAAGAGTAGGAATTGAATTAAAATATACATTCACACACACGTGTGTGCGTTTCAGTAGAGCTAAATTCAAACAATTTCTATGTTTAAATTATAAGCTAAGTTTTCCATTAGTCATTGATATGATACATATAATAAATACATTGACATAGTTGGACCACAATGGAAATAAGCTTTATGCTTAATTGTTTTATCCATTTATATTAATGTTACTGTATTCTATATACTGCATATGTTGGACCACAATGGAAATAAGCTTTATGCTTTATTGTGTTATCCATTTATATTAATGTTACTGTATTCTATATACAGTGCCATTTATATAATAAATAAAATGAATGAATCAATTGAATAATAGTGATATATAGTTTGTTATTGGAATTAAAATTATAAGTGCGTTACTTTTTTCACTTTGTTTTCGCAGTTTGCTATTCATCAAAACGGAAAGCAAAAACGGAAGTGTGTAACAGTGAACCTTCTTGGATTTCCTGTGTAACTCCCGCCCACTTGCTACTCTGACCAATGAGCAATGTAGGCAGGGGAGAAACCTAGCCACTACGGTTAGCGGGAAATGCCGGTAGCTGCGGTTGGCTTAAAACTATAATTTTATATACTCGAAGTAAACCTCTTATTTTTACTAAATGTGTATGTGGTAGAGTTTGGTTTTGCATTACTACGGATAAAAGAGGAATAGTGACATAGCTCAACATTCGCCGTCTATGCAGAGCTCCCACGTCCGGGTCTAATGCTAACGTGTAGCGCATTAGCTACATTTCGGCTAACAGGAAGATTGGGATTGATAAGCTACGCTAGTACATATAAAATATTAAGAACAGACAAAGGGCTACCATTGCTTGTTATGAAAAAAGAGACTTGTTAAAATGAGTCTGTTTAATTTAGACCGGTTTCGTTTTATGAAGAAGGGAGCAAACGAAGAGCAAGTTTGCGGAACCAAAAGTCCTGATTCTGAAAAGGAGAATAAACCAGGTAAGCAGCGGCACACACGGTTGGAATGTTAGCCGCGTGTCTCTGACATGCTATCGGTAGGATATTGTTTATACGGAACTATGCTTCAGCTTACGGACTGGTCTTCCCAGTTTCAAGTTATAATAGCTGCTTTGACATAAGATTCCTGTTCTGYATACCCTTAAAGGTATCATATCATGCTTTTAAATCCTTTTTCACGTCTAAATCCTTCACTTATGGTCTATTTAAAATAAAACTGCAACGCTTTGGTCTTAATTCCTCGTTTTTGTTGCTCCACAGACCCCTTGCTTTCCTTGCTTTACCCCTGTTCTGAGTTGCGCCTCAGAGCAGCGTTGCCAGATGGGAAATGTTGACTTATCGTATCAGCAGCTCAAAATGATCGTATTTTGAGGAAAATTATCGTACACACCCAAGTTACATTCTAGAGAGGCTCAAATTTACAAATACATCCTACATCCTAAAATGAAATCAGGAAAAGAACAAATCATTGTAGTTTATTGTACTTTTGATTAGTCAAGAAATAAATTGAGTGCATACTGAGCAAATTTAATCTGCAAGCCTGCAAAATCTGTTTTTTTAATAGCTTCTGGATGACACCTGGATGTTTATTAAATATAAATGTTGCTTATACCCCTCACCTTCTCAGTCCCACCTTTTCTTTTTGATTTTACAGTTATTATTTCTTTCACATAAGTACTATTATATTCATCTTTGCTGCTACTAATTGCCATCATAACCCCAATGTGGGAGTGGGTGTTCTCCCCCAGAAAAGTTTGAATGAAGTAGGTGCTGTTTCCTGCATTCTGATGTATTTGAATGTTGTTAAACATATTTTAAACTACATAAATAAACACTTTCATAACTATTTTAGAGACAGATTCTACATTCAACTCAATATATGAATCATCCTTTTTGTCTCACATTGGACGTTTAATTCTTTGACCAGCTGGTAGCCTAAGCAGTAGCGTTTTAATAGGGTAAAACAAATATTGGTGACTGCATCGTGGCAGCCAGCCTTCTCTTTAGAGACAGTAGTTTGTCAAGAGAACAAAAAAAAGTTTCTTCTGTTGCTCCTTTTTAATTATTTATTTATTTATTTATTTATTTATTTTACTGTCACAGCTCTAACCTTCCTTTCTATTGGCTAGGGACCGGCAAAGGGATCTATTT